TCTTTACAATTCTAAAGCCCTCCAAATCAACTTCACTATTGTTCATTTTGAAGTCATATCCTTCTGTGTAGACATCTTCCATGGAAACCAGGTTAAGGCTAGACTTTAAAAGATGTTTAAATAATTTTTCTGAACTAGTACAAGTGTAATATATAGTAGTTTTCTTATTTGAGATATTATGTGAGTAATAAGGTCAAAAAGGGTTCAAAAGCTTTTGAAAAAACAAACACACAACTATGTCTGATGCTAACTTAAAATGAAAATATATGGTAACTTGATTAAACTTGAAACCCATTATTAATGAGGTAAAATAAACCATACAGGGATTCTATTAGGTTTAGATTTAGACATGTTGATTCCTTTTTTTTTTCATTTTTTTGTTTCTGTTTGACTGATTCTTGCTCTCCCACGGAGTCATTAGTTTCCATTTGTCCAATTCTAAATTATTACTATTATTATTTTGGCTAGGCAGTGGGGTTAAGTGACTTGCCCAGGGTTACACAGCTAGTAAGTGTTATATGTCTGAGGCCAGATTTGAACTCAGGTCCTCCTGACTTCAGGGCTGGTGCTCTATCCACTGCACCACCTAGCTGCCCCCCCCATTCTAATTTTTAACACATTGTTTTCTTCTGTTAGATTCTGTACTTCCTTCTCCAATTGGCCAGTTGTATTTTTAAGGGATTTGTTTTCTGTAGTGTTCTTTTTTTCCAGTTGGCCAATTGTGGTTTTTAGGGACTTGTTTTCTTCAGTGTACTTTTTTTCTAGTTGGCCAATTGTACTCCCTAAGGACTCTTCTACCTCTCTCATTTGACTTTTAAAATCCTTCTTGAGCTCTTCTAAGAAGGCTTTTTGGGCTTCAGACCAGTTCATATTCCCTTTTGATGTTGCAGATGTGGGTTTGTTGACAATGTTGTCCTCTTCAGAATTTCTGTCTTGATCTTCACTCTTCCCATAATATGAATCTATGGTATGTTTCTTTTTACTCATGGTGTTTCTTTATTCCCTGGCCTTTAAAGAGATTGATCTCTCCTCCTGGGGAGTGGAGGGCACTGACCCAAGCTTCTTGTGTGGGGAGCCTAGGTCTTGGTCACTGGCTTTGTGTGCTGGGGCCTCTTATGTTGGCAATTAGAGGCTGTAGAGTTCTGGCAGCTTACCTGGTGTTGGGCCAAAATCAGCAGGGCTGGAACTTTCAGGCAATTCTAGGTTGCCTGCTTTTCCTTTCCTTTAGCTTTCTTCAGCTCCTTTTAGATGGGTGCTTCAGGGTGTTTATCTGCCTGGGGCCCCTTGCAGTGATTTCTTCCTTAGTTCTACTGAGGCACTGGGAGACTCCTTTGCTGTAGAATGCCAAGGCACCTGGTGGTTTTTTGAGCTGGTTCCCATCAGTTCCCCTGCCCTCACTGAGGCACTCAGAGGTCCAGGTGTTGGTGTTTGCCTGTTCTACCACCTGGGCTTCAGGAGCTCCTCCTGGTTGGCAGTTGGAGGCTGTAGGGTTCTGACAGCTTACCTGTGTTGGGCTGGAATCAGCAAAGCTGGAACTTTCAGGCAACTCTGTTGCTTTTTTCAGCTCCTTGCAGATGAATGATGCAGGGTGTTTATCTTCCAGGGGCCCTTTGTAGTGCTGCTTCCCTTATTTTTGCTGAGGCACTGGGAGACCCATTTGCTGTAGAATGCCGAGGCACCAGGATCTCCTCCTGGTGTGCTAAAGTGGGGCTTTCCACTGGCTGGGTTGCCTACTGTTCCATACTGCTCCCCTTCCCCCAGGGTAAGAGGGACCTTTCCTGTTAATCCCTCAAGCTACCTGGACTACTGCACTGCTGTTCCCTGTCTTTCTTCTGGTTCAGCTGTTTCAGAGTTTTTTCTGGGGTGATATTTTCTGGGCTTTCAGAGGTTGATAGGGGAGGGTGAGAGCTACTACCTTTTTACTCCGCCATCTTGGCTTCCGGAAGCGGAAGTCCTAGACATGTTGATTCCTGAAGTTAAATAGGTGATTACAAACTCAGTTACTGCTCATTTTTAAGGCACATTTGATTACATTGTTTTTTTCTAGAATTGTATATAAAAGTTTAAAATAGAATTTTAAAATATGCCATCAGTTGGCCTCAAACTCTAGACCATGTTGAATGTCTTCTGTGCTGGAGGGCACAACCCTTTGACAATCAGTATGACCTTCAGGCCAAATTGGTAAGGACAAGATGGTTGTTTTTTATTGTTGGTCAGCTATAGTGGCACAGAGAATTATAGAAACATAGATTTTTGAATTTTTTCTAACTGTGTTCCTTACTTCTTTTCATACTACAAGAGCATAATGGACAAATAATAGTATTTATTATGCTCATAGTTAACATCAAGAATTTCATCTGGCTGAAACTATAAAATACTGAGTAATATAGTCTCTCAAGTTATTATTCAGTCAGTACTCTCTGATCTCCTGATTGGAGCCTCTTTCTGCAGGGAAGGGTCAGGAGCTCAAGGGCCTTTATTTAAGAAAGAGACTCAGCACAGTCTTCTCCTTATTTCCTACCAAATAAGTTGATTTTGGACTTCTTTAGACTTCTCTATCATGCCAGTACCACCCCCTCAACCCTGCCTGATTTTTAGCTTCCTTTTATATGTTGTTGTCCTGCATTGGATGGTAAGCTCCTGAGAGCAACTTGTATTTGTATCCCCAGCACTTAGCACAGTACTTGGTACATCATAGCCTCTTTGAATCAGTCATTAAATGACTGATTGAGTTAGAAGAACCTCAGAGGGCAATTAGTTCAACCCATATTGGACCATGAATGCTTTTGATACTTAGAAATGACCAATCCTTCCTATACTTGAAGACATCCAATAAAGGGGAGAGGCCATCTCCAGTCATCCTTATCTATATCTTGCCCCTGGACTCAGATGGCTCCAGAGGAGAAAGTGAAGCTGGTGACCTTGCATAGCCCTGTCTCACCTAAATCCAGTTCACTTGCTAGTCATGGCACCATCTTCCTGATGTCATGGTCCTTTTCAAAAGCGAAGGATAAATAACAACAGCAACAATCCAATAAAGGGCAACCCATTGTACTTTCAGATACTTCTGATGTTATAATGAGCAATAATATAATATTTGAGGTCCTTTATAGTTCTAACATCCCATTATTATATGAAACTGTGGTTTTCAAAAAGGTGTAGGGATTACAAGATTTCACTGTGCTTATTTTTTCTTGACTTAAAAAAAAATTGATTCAGTAGAATACAATGCCTCTTCAAAGGCTCTTGTTTAACAAAGTATCTCCCATGCCTATGTCAACATTGTATGTCAACAAGATTCCTTGTAAGGTATAATACTAAATAACTTTGATGATCCATTGATTATTAATATTAAATGAGCCGTAAAACAGAACCGTATGTTCACCAAGGTATTCATCACCAAGGAGATCTACCAGAATCCATGTCAAAGAGAGATTTCCTATAAATGATGAGATCTTCCAGATTAGTGATTAGCAAAGTTAGCCTACTACTTGTTTTTATTTGTTCCAAGAGCTAAGAATGCTTTTTACATTTTTAAATAAATGTATATTGTGTTGTATTGTATTTACGTTGCATTGTATTATACTGTATTATACCATGGTCTAGACCAGGGGTGGGGAACCTGTGGCCTTAAGGCGACATGTGGCCTTCTGGGTCCTTTGGTGAGGCCTTTTGACTGAGTCCAAGTTTTATGAACAAATCTTTTTATTAAGGGGATTTGTTCTGTGAAGTATGGGTTCAGTCAAAGGTCTGCACTTGAGGACCTAAGAGGGCCACATGTGGCTTCAAGGCCGCCAGTTACCCACCCCTGGTCTAGAAAATAGGTATTCATCATTTAGTTGGTTTTAAAAGTGTAAACAGCTAGGACAAGGGTGATTGAGTGATTAGAAAGCTCTGTGGTGTTCTGGGGCCTGATGTAATAATCAAGCACAATGTCATCTATAAACAACCACTTTTTTAGCTCGTGAGCCATGCAACAACAGGTGGTGGGCTGAATTTGACCCATAATTTATGATTTGCCAACCTCTGCTCTGGGTGTTTGTGCTTATAGATGACATTATGCTTGATTATTACATCAGACACTAGAATGTTTCAGAGTTTCCTAATCAATCAAATACTTTTGTCCTATCTGTTCACACTTTTAAAACCAACTGGATGAAGAATGCCTGCTGTCTAGACTACAATGCACTCTTGGGTGGAAAACCTGTAATAGTCAGTGATATTTATGTACATCTTGGACCAACACCACAAAAGGAAAATGATCTGAGCCCAGAATTAACAAGATGGGGAGAGTGAATTGGATTGCCATTAGGAAATTAAATAGCCCCCAAGCTTCTCACTGAAACAAAGCCCATATTTTTGACCACCAGTATTCATCCAGCATGTAGGCAAGTCTCTAAGACCCCAAGTTGCAGAGAATGTGCTGATCTATATTGATAGGGAGAGTTTCTTAATAAATCAATAGAATCGCAGTTCCTTTCCCTGTTCACTGCCTTATTTTTCCAATTATGTTATGTGGCTGCAAGGCATAGAATACTGTGGTCTCTGAAAGCACAGTGGAAAGGTAAATGGCAGGCTAAAGAGGCTTGCTGTTACAAGCAAGCAATTTTGTTGGAGAAGTAGTGTAAAGGATGTCATCAAAGATATGTTGGGTGAGCCTCTTGTGGTATGCTTATGAGAAGGCAAGAATCACAACATGTGGTCAGACATGGATGGGTTGCAGTCAGCATTATTGGAGGGAATACTCACATCAATGAAAGCATTGAAGTAAATGAACCATGGTGATTACAATTTTATTTCTACTAAGTATTCTTGCAATTTAGTTTAAACTTGTGAAAAAGAATAGCAGGTAAAGAAAACCACCTCTGCCTGCTGATATTTCTGGTGTATAATGATGTTTGTTGCCATTGAGTCATATGCTCACAGTGATCTGTGATTATTTCTTTCATTGTCTTTTGAATACAACATACTTAACATTTTCTCTTTTTGATGTCTTGCAGTGTAGAAACTTCGCTGTGTTAGTAGATCTTCATATTTTGCCTCAAGGTTCAAGAAAATCACCAGCTGGTTTTCAGAATAGAAAAAAAGGTACAGCAAAAATTTCAATTTTAAGGACAAAATGACTGTGGGAGAAAACATTGCCTAGTGCTAATCTGCTTAGATTCTACTTTACTAATTAGGTAAAAATGATAAAGATAATGCCTAAGCTTGAGAAATCCTACTGAAGCACTGTTATTTCCCCCAAGAAATATTTTGGTTTTTTCTCAGGAAACTAAAGTTATGTCTACAGTAGACAAACATTTCTGACCTTCCATTAGGTATTATTTACCTCCAGAATATTCCTCTCTCCCCACCCCATCCCAGGTTGTATTTATGCAACATATATAATAAAATATTCATAACTGCTTAAAAGTGGTGCTCACAACATCCTTAATAAATTGGAAAAGTTAACATCAGTAATATCTTTTTCACTTTTCCTTAAAACCCTTGTCTGTCATTTTTATTAACACTATCTTTTGATAACTAATCAATAAGGAAATATTTGATTATCTGTTCCTTCTCTCAGCCATGTCAGTGAAAGTGATAGATCCACAACAAAATATATTTTATGAAACTATCTCTCAGTATTCCCATTGCATCAAATTTTTGTTTACTGTAATATTGGTGTGAGTGAGGAAGTGACATCTACAAGGCCTTTTAAAATATAATAATTTTTCAGTCAGATCTATTGATTATAGTAGCGTTTTAGAGCTAGAAATCCAAATCCAAATTAGTTACAGTAAGAAGAAGATTATATCTAGGCAGAAGGAACTAATTACGGTGTAGAAAAATACTGCCTTTTCATTAGATATTTCTTAATTGATGCTATTTTAGACCATGAGAAAAAAATGATACCTGCTAATGCATTGTTGGTGGATCTGTGAATTGAGTTCAATTATTCTGGAAAGCAATTGGAATTTTTCTAAGATGTTTTAAATGTCCATACCCTAGATACACTCTAGGTATATTCCCCAAGGAGTTTGAAGACAGAATGAAAGGTATAATATACAGCAAAATATTTATACAGTACTCTTTGTATATTAGCAAAGAATCAGAAACAAAGTAGATACCCATCTGTTTGGTAATGATATAACAAATCATGGCACATGATGTAGTAGAATATTACTGTACCCTAAGAAATGATGACTATGAAGAATTCAAGGAAACATAGAAAGACATCTGAGAATTGATCAAAAGTAATAGACCTAGGAAAACAATATTCAGAATGAATGAATGAATAAAATACAGACCTGAATAATAGAGAAATATTAATTGTTCATGGATTGTGTGAAGTAATATAATAAAAATGATGATACAGCCTAAATTAGTTTACCTATGCAGTGACATACAAATAAAACTACCTAAAGATTATTCTTTAGAGGTAGAAAAATAATAACAAAAGGAGGAACAAAACATTCAGAATATAAACAAAAAAGATAACATAAACAAATTGGAGGAGAAAGGAAGAAAATAGGGAAAGAAGCCATGACCAAATATGATAGAGAGTATCATAGAGCATAAACTGGATAGCTTTGATTACATAAAATTTAAGTTTTTGCCTTAACGAAATCAGGGTAGTTAAGATCAGAAGGGCAACAGGTAGCCCAGAAAGAAAATCTTTGATGCAAATTTCTCTGACAAGGTAACTAGTTCAAGTTTTATAAGAACAAGAACTATTTCCCAGCAGATAAATGGTCAAAGATAAAGTGGGAGGTTTTTTTTAAGGATGAAGTCCAAGCTATCTATCAAAAGCTATATTTTTTAAGATGTTCTAAATCATTTGTAATAAGAAAAATTAAAATAAAACCAATATTGAACTTCCCCCTCATATATATAATGTCATATTGGCAAAGATGACAAAAAAAGAAGATAGGTTTTTTTGGACAGTGGGAAGGTAGAAATATTGATGTTAATAAAGCTGCAAATTTGGCTGGTCATTCAGTAAAGCAATATGGAACTGTAATCTCAAATTTGCTAACCCAGCGATATCACAACTAGGTTTATACAAACAGATCAAAAAAAGAGGAGAAGAACTTATGTGCACAGAAATATTTCAGGCAACTCTTTCTATTGTGGCAATGAACAAGAAACTTAGGTCATGCATATCAGTAGGGGATTTGGTTAAACAAATTGTAGATGATGAAATTAATGGAATATGTTTGTACTGTTAGAAGTTATGAAAGAAGGAATTTCAGAGAAACTAGAGAAGACTTGTATGAACTAATGAGAAATGCAGTGAGCAGAACCAGAAAACAAACTGTTTATACAATAAAAATATCATTTAAAAACACAAAAACTTTGAAGATTTAAGAACTCTGAACAATGCAGTGACAAACCATGATTCTAAAAGACTGATGATGAAACATGCTACCCACCTGACAGAGAAACAATTGACCTCAGATGTGGAATAAGATATACAAGACTAATGTAAGAATTTGTTTTGCTTAAATATGCAAATGTATTACAAATGATTGATTTTTATTTCTGTTTTCCCTATTGGATTGGGATGTGAGGGAGAGAGGAATAGGGGTAGGAAAACAAAAACAAAAACAAAAAATGAAAAAAAAAGAGGGTCATTGAAACTTTTTTTAATGCACAGAACATAAGGAAGGCATAAAAGAATCACAGACAAGAGGGACAGTATTGAAAGGAACACGTTGAATTTACTGAAATTACTTCAGATAGTATTTGGTCCCCTGTAACTTCACTTAGGCCATCTTCATAGAGCTGAAATTTCATGAACAACCAAATCTGGTTACATTTAAAGTCATTTTATAAGACAAGATTAAGACTATCAGATTGCTTTGCAGAAAAGGGAACTAATTACATTTTTGAAATTATGTTTATTATGAAGCAGTTTATTATGTTAGCAGTATTCATTCCCAAACAATTGAATTCAAGTTTCCATTTATAAATTTTAGAAAGCAGATACAAACTTCTTTTATCTGAAAGATATTTTAGCTATTTTCTCTACCTTTTTGATTCCTTTTTCTGTGTTCCCAGACCCAGAGAGTCTTTTGTTAAAATCTTTTCCCCCATGAATCTGCTCATAAAAAAGATGCTTATAAAAGTAGTTCATTTAATTAGTAGATCATAGCTACTTCTTGTATGATGTACTCTTTATTTAAGACTGTCAAATCATTGAAATCAATCCCCTTAACTAAAAGGAGAAAGTTTATATGCATGGGATGTTGCTTTATTTTTAATGTTATTTTTAGACCTAGCCATATAGGGGATTTATGGCAAAATTTTAACAATCCACGTTTCCATGTATCTGTTCCACATATTTTCTAGCTCAGTCATAGCTAAACTGCATGTGAAACAAAATTCTTTAATTGTTAAAACAACAGTATAAGGCATGGCTGCATTTCTGCTTTCCATCTAAATAGTGCCAAAGGAATCAAATGTAAACTGATACATCTGTATTCCACAAAGTAGCAAATTTTTGTGCTGCAAAATGAGAAGCAGAAGAAGAGTGACGAGTATTTGCATTTTAGCTAGACATTAAGTTTAAAAATGGGAAGATTCTTCCTCATCAAATCTTAATATTAGTGAATCAAACACATCTTTTTGTAATTTTTGAGGAAGGTAGAAGAAAAGTATAATTAGTTTCTTTGAGAAATTTTTTTCTTTTTAATTTTTTAGTTGTCCAACAGATAAAGTTTCTAAGGCATTAGAGAAAACCAGGGACACTGGAATGAGTAGGCATAGTGACTTTCAGCCTTCCCAGAATTTACCTTTTGGAATTAAACCAGAGTTGTATATTTTTACGTACCTAAAGAATTCTGAGAGAATTGGAGAATTCTAGAGAACTTTAGACTTCTGTGTGACTTCTTTTTCCTCTGGATGATGTATGGTAGAACACATAGAAGAATTATATAGGTTGAAGAGGCATGAATGAGAGGGCCAGAGTCAAGATGGCATGAGAAGAATTTTTCCCTAGCACACATCCTCCACAACAAACTAGAAATGTACCAGATTGAATTCTCATTGGGAAAGCCAAGAAAATGTCATAGTAAGTCAATTTTCCTAGCCCAGGGCAGTTCTGGAAAACAGAGAGGTCTGCCAGCACTGATACATGGACTGGCCAGGAGTATGAGGTCGCACTGGTGGCTCAGGGCAACATTCCAGTGCCCAGGAAGAGAAAAGGGGCTGAGACAGAGAATCAGGACAGGAAGCACAGGAGTAGAATGAGATCTCAGGGGATCTCAGAATTGGTACTGGGTGTAGAACACGTGCCATCTGATAGCCCTGTTACTCATTACTCAGTTTCAGGTCATACAATCCAGGGTGGAGAGAGGAGGTCACAAGTGAGTGGGGCCCTGAGTACTGAGCACAGAATAAGTTCCAAAAATGTAGTTATGTGGCTCTGAAAATTGGAGAATAAAGCCAACTTAGTTCCTACCTTTATCCCAGCACATAAAGACTTTAAGGGAATAATCAAAGCAGGAGTGTCCTAGACCATAGGGAAACCAGCAATTCAGTCACTCTAAACCTGCAGAAGCTCCTAATGGGCTAACAGTGACTGAGTCCAGAAAGAGTATACAAAAACTCCACAATGCACAAGCCAACACACCCAAATTTGGATCAGGAATTTACAGAATTCAGACCAAGAGGACAGTGAACAGATCTCTCCCCAGATAACTGCTTTGGGAGCAATGAAAACTTGAAGGCCCTCAGACTAGACATCTCCCCACCATCACACCAGAAGTGAGCAGAGCCCAATACTAACATAAAGTCCAAATTCAAGAAGTGGGCTGGAAGAATGAGCAAACAAACAGAAAGAATGAAACCCTAAAGAGCTGCTGGGTTGACAGGGAAGCTTAAAAGATGTAAACATTCATTCAGTCAATAAACATCTGTTAAGCACTTACTATGTATTAGACACTGTGCTAAGTGCTAGAAATACAAAAAGAGGCAAAAGGCAGTCCCTCCCCTCAAAGAATTAACAATGTAGTGGACACAGAAGACAATAACTTGAAAACATCTATAAGCAAAACCTCAAAGAAAAATATGAGTTGTACATGAGCTCAACAAGAATTCCTAGA